ATTTGACTATTTAAAGTTTTAATTTTTTAAATACTTGTTAGTTTATGTTCTTCAAAATAGCAAATTTTCTACCAGTAATAGTCTGAATAGTTAGTTCCCTATACAACTGGTGTATGATCTTTTCTTCGTTTTTGTACCTCCTTCCCATCCGTTGATCCATTCAAAAATATTTACTGAAAGCTAAACATGTACCAGGTTCTGTTAAGGAGGCATCTGGGATACATTAATGATCAAGACAGATACTCACAGATCACACACACACTAAAATTCAAGGCTATTAAGACAGTGTTTTATTAATAAGGAATACTCTCTTTCAATGCTTTGTTTCAATGTATATTTTCCTGATACTACTATGGCCATTCCTATATTCCTTTTATCAAACCGTGTTTCAGTTGTCTGTTTTAACTAGCATATATTTGGATTTTGTTTATAAAGCCAGCAGAGACTCTTTGTTTTTTATTAGAAGAACTAGAATAATTTATGTGTAATACTATACCTAATGATTGACAGTATTGTCATCTTATCTTACGCTTTCTTTGTAAGTACTCTTACTATTTTATTTTGTTATTATTACAGTTTTGTGAGTCTTATGAGTCAGGCAATTGTTTTTAGCACCTATTTAGTAGCAATGAACATTTTATCAAGTCTTTATAATATTTAAAGTACTATAATTTTTTTCACTCAAACCCCACAATTCTATTGCTAGACACTATTTTACAGGTATTTTATAAAACAAGAAATTCTTTAGTGAATGGAAACAGTATCAATGTAATAGTACATTTGATTTCTTCCATATGTGATGAATTAGATAAACCTTTATACTTCTTTCCCCTTTGAACAATTCACTAGAATTAAGTAAATCTAAGATCCAAATAATGTTTTATATTATTTTTTAATCAAGTGCTTCAGATGATTCTTTTTGGCAGTTACATTCAGTTGTATACCCTAATTACACCTTACTGGTTATACTGCTTTGCAGCAGTCCCTTAAGATCTGCTTTCCCCTTACTTGAACTAATAATCTTAGTCCCTTCTCAGTGGGAAGAATATACTCTTACCTAGAAGGGCATGTGGGCTGTAGCTTTCCTGAACTAATGTATGTGTGACTGGCACACCTTTCCTTTTGGCCTTTATCTGTCTTAAAATTCATGAATTTACTTTGTTAATACAGATTCTGTTTTTTTTTTAAATTTAATCAACTATTTTTGTAGGTCAAGTTTAAAATTAAAGTAGCAGAACACCCCACACCCATCCCCCAGCTTCCTTATTTTTCTATCTAGCAGCCGGACAGTATTGGACTTGGACAAGATCTAAGCCTTAGGTGATGGCTTCTTATTTTAGCTATACTTTTGCTGCTGGTACCTCTATGTGGAGGACCCTGAGACCTTTTTGTCCTGATGCTTGGCATGGCTGTGAGCCTTAGGCTCTCCAGTGCCCTTTATTTTCTATTTCGTCGTTATCAGGCTAGTTTCCTGACCACTACTAACAAGACTCCTTTGGTTCCAAGCCGTGTACATGCCTGGTCGGTGCTGTGTACCTGGTCACCCTGAGTTTGGCTCACGGCCTCAGCTAACACACAGTATCTGTGGGTACCTCAGATTTCTGCCACACTCATGGTCCTAGTCAAATTACAGCATGAGTGTGGGCTCAGGAGTTCAAAGCCTGGCTCAGCTTCTTGAAAGCTGGTCCATCTAAAGAAGCCTTTTACAAGCCTTAATTTATTCATCCACAAAATGGGGATAAGTAACAGCACCTATCCCAATGTGTTGTGAGGATAAATGAGATCTATGTAAAGTGTTTAGTACAAATGAATAGCCCATAGAAAACAATAAATATTAAAAATTATTGCCATTTCAAATAATTTATGATTCTTTCCCATAATTCTTAATCATGGTAATTCTTCATATAGAAGAGAAAAAAACCCAACTTATTTCAAAAGTTGTAATTCTGAGGGAATAGCCAGTGTTGTATGACAATGAGGTGTCACTGGATCTTCGCCTTCTAACCCTAATTCTGTTTTTTACATTTATGTATATGATGCTCATTGAAAAGAAAAGACTATTTCAGTCATTAACTGTGTTAGAATAGCTATTTGCTTAAACTGTTGAGAGAATTTTTTAAAGTGGGTAATTATGCTATGATGACAGCTTTTTTTTTTACCATATGCTTATATTTCAAATATAAGTTTAAAAAACTTTACTAGTCATACATAATGACATTGTGATAAGTTAGAACAAATATATAGTGATATAAATATTTTAAAATCGTATCACAAAATTTAACTGATTATTTAACAATACCCAAGAAACTTCCCAATTAAATTACTATAAATCACCATAGCAAAACAATTGCTAATCCAGAAAATAGGAAATAAGGGAAATGGAAGATGTATAATAAACATTTGGGAGATATGAAATTTATCCCATGAGCATTGTAAAGAACTCGTAATTTAAGAATGCCAAAGCCCAAATGTGTTATAAGGGTCTTTCCTCAAAAGTGACATTAATTGCAGATGCTTATTATGTATTCTATTTGTATCAAAGTATAAAATGTTGTTGAAAATATAAAGATTCAATATATTTAAGGATGATAACAAAACAGAGTTATTCTGGCCTAGCAAAAATTGTTTTAAAGTTCAATTTTTGATCTTTTTATAAAAGAGTATTAAGTAAAAATAGTACTGAATGTTTGTATTTGAATCTGTTGTTATTAAGTGTCTTTTGTATTCACAACAAATACATACACAAGAATGGAATTTTAACACTAATGTTTAAGAGCTTTGCACCAAAATAACCCCTAAGCGATGAAATCACAGGACATTCTTATTCTCATACTAAAAATGAAGATCAGAAAATAACAACTCTTAGAAATGTTCTTTGAAAGTTGGAATTAGTGTGGTCAATGTTTTCCTTTGGATATTAGCGCACAATGGTTGATAGGCTACTATAGAACTTAATTTTTTAAAAGTCTAATACCCACCAGTGATTGGCAAACAAAAGACAACTCAAAATGTTAATTGTTTGAATTATCAAGAAAAACTTAATTCTAAGTGCATCCGGAGAATCTTTCATAAAGCTAGTGAAAAACACAGTGTATATTACTTTAAGATATTATAAAATAATAATTCCTAAAAGTGTTAAACATTTAGTTGCAAATTAACTCTTTAACCTAAATAGTAACTTGACTTACCATTTTGTAACAGAAAACCAACTAAAATTATCCAGGGGATAATGCACTTAAATACATAAAATAATAGCATCAGTAAGCAAGTTATTATATAAGACTCAAGATTTCATGGGTACTTATTCCTATATTCCAAAATATAAAACATCCACCTATTTAAAATTAAGGCAAGATAATTTAGAATGACTTTGGCCAATTCTAATTTTGTTAAGTTTATTAGCAAAATGAAACAAGTAAGTTTATATATGGCTCACCTGCCATGTAAATGAGCTATTTAAAGTACAAAAAATACACTTTTTAAAAAGTACAAAAAATACTTTAAAAAGTACTCTTAAAAACAGAGTAATTACAAAATCTTTTTCTTAAAGATACTTTAACCATATTAGAAAGCAGGTTTAAATAAATTTTAATGTAGTATGCAATTGCTGAAGATTGACTAAAATGAGAAGCCTGCACTCAAAATGGGGTATAATTTCATTTTGTTAACACTATCCCCACTATGTAAAAATACATTTACAATTTACTCCCCATTCTATAGAAACTGTTGGCATTGATAACATTTTTTCCATTGGCACATTCATTATCAACATTTTTAACATAGTTTCCTAATTTTGTTAGACCATTTTAGTGTTCAAGAAAGTATTTGCTTTGTTTGAAAATCCAAATTTTATAAAAACAGCCAGCATGCAAAAGCACATTTTACATTATGCAATTATGGTTTCTGATGTCATTTTCAGGGGGAGTAGTTTTTATTAACTGAAAATTGATTATTTTATATATTGTCCACTTGATAATTTACTCAAACTGAAAAAAATTATTTTCAAGTGTTAATACTAAATCACCAACTTTCTTCCACCAGGAACAGACAGTAGTATCAACAATTATTTAGATTAATATTACTTGTATAGAACAAAACATAATATTTCAATTAATTTCCATGAGATACATAGCTTTAATACTTAGTAGGTTTAAGAAGATAAAATTTTTATACCAAATTGATATGATCTGTTTCTAAAACTTTACTCTCAACTTTCATACTATTTTTTAGAAGCACTTGTCTAAAGGATAGCTCTTATGTTTCCACTTAAGTAGAAGCCAATATATGCTTTAGTGAAGAAAACTTAGAAAGCGAAAGCCAGAGGTTAAGCATTCATGAATCAGACAGGACATCATATTTACTGAGCTATGATAGCCTAATTAAGAAATGGTAATGACAGATAATGGTAACAAAAGTGTTTCAAACTTATATTGAATGTTTACTGCATACTGAGCACTATAATTTTTGTACATTATTATTTCTCTCTTATAGGTACCCTACAGTAGGTACCATTACTTTTAGTCTCCACTTCACAGATGAAGAAACCAGTGCTCGAAGTGGTTTAACACATCTGTTTCATTTCAAAGCCTGTACTTCTCATTGCTGTTTATATTACACTCATATTATTCTGTGGCCCCAAAGATTCTAACAATCATCAATAGGAAATATACAGATGAGTAAGACAGCTTAGGGTAGAAGACAGGAAAATCTGACCACATTGGCCTTTCATGTGCCCCAAGATAGAAATAATAAATTGAAATTTTGTAAGTGAAATGAGTAGGTACAATCCTTGCACAACAACATGTGGAACAGACTAATTAAGAGAATGAGTGACTTCTTCAAAGGTTAAAAAAATACATAGTTTTAGATAATGCAGATGAGATTCTATGCAAAAATAATGAGAGGCGCTATCATTACTGCAAGTACTGGTATTGTTAGTACTGCTGGAAAATAAACTTGAAATAGTAATTATGTCATGGATCATGGATTTTATTGGAAAGGTGCTGGTTGGATGCCAGAGAAGCTCAGTGAATCATTACGATGAAGAAAGCTGATGTCTGAAGAGGAAAGTGGAACACAATGGCTGTATGTCATCATTCCCAATCCCTGCCCTTGTCACAGCAGCAGAAAGCATCAACTCCAACAAAGAGGTAATAAACAGTAACACATTCCAAAGAAATGAGGCCCAACATTAATTTCTTTCCCCAGCATATGGGAGACTAATTTCTAGACTTTAGCAAACAGTGTTTGAGGGTATAAATGGGCTTTTGTACTTGAATATACCAATCTTTGAGTACACAGTGGAGAGGAACACAGAATTTAACTTTTGACCCGGCCAAGAGTTATTTTTTTTTAAATGTTTATGTCTATAATCACAAACATATTAGCTAGACTTATAAGTGTAAATGGCAATTAATTAATAAGCTTCAGTGCTATCTAATACCTACGTTAACAAAAACTTTCTCATTTCCAGTGGGAATGAGGAAGCTGCTTTTACTGATGAAGTCAAACTTTAAGCCACAGAAATGAAAACATACACCACTGGAACAAGAAAGCAGACATATTCAATTGCAGTTCAGGGCTTCCAGAGAAGAAAGACAGCTAAATTACTTTGAGTCAAAGACTCTATGTAACCCAAGAACATAAAGAAAATATTCATCAATATTCTTTTCTTTTGGTTAAATAAATGGCCTCTGCTCTGGTCCTAAACCTTTGAACTTGTTTTGATATTCTTTGTAATTTAAATAGTGAATTTACATTTATTGAGCATCTGCTATATATATATCATTAATAACTTCTCAATTTTCTATGTTCTATGAAACATCCCTATGAAAAATGGGATTTGCAGGAAATACCTAGCACTACACCAAGGAACTGCCTAGCACTAGATATGAATGTTCTATTGTTTCAATATAAAGGACTGTTTTGTTGTTTGTAGCACTCTACAACTAATTTCTATTTATTACAATTGCTATCTTTCTAATTTGCCTACTTACAAGTCACTGGATAATAGGCACACAGACACACACACACTTCTAAGGAGTGACTGGCTCTCCATTCTCCTGCTATAGATATGTGGCTGAAGAAGATTAATGTATTATGTTCACTGTGGGGTGGGCATTTACCTTATTTTTGGAAGCGCATTTCTGAGGATACAGAAGAAGATAACCACATGGTGAAGTGTAAAGAGCATGGATATCTTACAGGATTGCCTGGGTTCAGGACTGGCTTCATGAGGGTATGAGCTATGTCTCCCTGCACTTCTCGGAAGGCTTAGTTTAATGACCTGCTGTTGCCATCTTGAAATTCTTACTAATTTTTTTTAAGGGACCATTCATTTTTATTTTATGTGGGGCTCTGTAGATTATAGAATCAAACTACTTGGATTTGAATTATGACTTCACTGTTAATATGTGTAAACTTAGTGTAAACCTTAGTTTCTTCCTCTGTAACAAAGGGGTAACAATTAACAGGGTTGGTGGAACTATTAGCTAAAACATCATATGAAAGTAATGAGCACAGAGCCTGGCGCATAGGACAGAAAAGAGATATCGAATGACATGGAGCTGGAACGGTTCTTGTTCTTACTTGTAAGATCTTAGACATATAGAAACCACCATAAATCATAGTTAGGAGTAGCTGAAATTTAAACTTTAATACTTACAACCCATATATCTGTGGTGCAATTTCTAGTCTGTTCAAGTGCATGTAAAGCTCAATATCATGTTTTTTCAGCAGATGATCCTGGATTTGGTTGACTTTAGTAACAATAGCAATTGTTGGTCCTAAATCCTGTGGTCTCGCAAAGGGGATGGGAGTCATCAGTGTTTCTTTTCCCTAAAAACAAGAAAAATGGAACATGCATTATTCCAATATGAAACTAACAAATATATGAACATGATTCTTGAATGTACTTACCAATGAGAATTTAAATAAGAACCAACAACTACATTAATCCTCATGAAATGCTTAAATTATGGGATCATATGCTGATGGGCATATAGATGACTGCTCATAAAGGCCAAGAAATGCCTTCTGAAATATTTTGTGACTCTATTCTTTGATCAGTTTTTCTGATGACATTAAGTATTACAGGATTTTTTTATTTTACATGGGGCTAGAGCTGGTGGGGCTACTAGTCTCTTGGTTCATGGCCAGTTTGTCTCATCAGCCATAGTACCTAAATGGAATTCTTTGTTGAAGCACATTTCTCATGGCATAAAACTTAAACATGAAAAACAGCACATGAAAACTGTTTTACTCTGAGCTCCCAAACTATTAAAAAGTCAGGAAATAAAGGAAACCAGTAGTAGAAAAGAAGATGTTCTCTAATTGTCCTTTGATTAAATAAATGAATAGGAAGATTTTTAATCTTCCCAGACTAAAAGGGTAGTTGATTAGAAAACAAAACAAAAAAACCTAAGTGGGCCAACTACAATTTACCTGTCCTGCCATCCCCTATCCCAGATTAAGAAAGATATGCCTGCAACTCCTTTCAAAGCAAACTCTGTAATTTATGCTTTCATGTAAACTTCAACTATCCCCTCAACTTCAGTGATTAGCTCTAATATACTATGTTTGACCTGTCTTCTCATGTTCAGTCATCAAATTCTACCTCTCTCTAATATTGGAAGAATCTATAGCATCACTTTCTTGTGACTGTCTATCACTCATCCTCAGTGTACTTCTCTAGCTCAAACCTTGTTTCTGCTTCACAAATGCTGCTTTTTCATACAGTTTTGGTCTTAGTTTTATTTATTACTTACATGCAATTCCCTGAGTGATCTCAGTCATACACATCACTTCAACCAATATCCATTTTCCAAAGACCTCCTAATCTGTATTCATAACCTAGACATGTCTTGAGTACATCCCATACACTCAAATGTTGGCAAGGAATCTTAAATTACCAAAAGGGTCTCTAGTTCAGCAAAGTCTGTCATCTGCTCAAAAACATGTTCATCCTTTCCCCGTGCCTACCTCAACCCATTTTCCAGTAAGAACACCTTGTTTGCCATTTTAGGTCCTCAGAACCACTCAGGCACTCTTATAGGTCTACTGTAACAGCCAGACATAGGGTCCTAATCATTTCTTTCCTCCTCCTTGGTCTCACTATCCCTAATTTTGTCTGCTATTAAATCCATCTTCCAAAATGCCTGGTGACCTATCTAAAGCCTGTGTTAGATTAACTCAAACTGCCTTCCTTAAACCTTTTTAACAGCTTCTTGTCATTTTCACTCAGAACAAACCCAAATTCTTTAGCTAGGTTTATACGGCCTTCATTATGTGGCTGGCCTCACTCTCACTGTGCTTCCAGACAGACCCGGACAAGCCATTCTTTTACCTGAAATATCCCCTCCCCAGTGTTTCCATTGAGCAGCCCCCACATATGTTTAAAGATCTGGCTGAAGTGCCAGACTCTACTGCATTATCTTCTTCCCAACCGTCACTGTACCCTTTTCTACTTCTCTGCCTCCTAAACTATGAGATCTCTAAAAGGAGTACCATCTTTTCATCACTGGACTGGATTCAGGGGTTCAACGAGCAGATAAATCACTTGCTCTCATTATCTGGAAGGGAGATGACACAGAAAAAACCTGCAATTCCACATAAGAGCAGGGACTCATCAGATTGGTGGAATGCATGAGGAGGGGAGGGGCATGTGGTAGCATGACAGGGAACTTGCTGGAAGGGCTTCTATCTGTCCTCCTAAGATCATTTCAAGTCTTAAAAAGTCTTTTGTATCCCCTACAGTGCCTGGCCTAGTGTCTTTAGGTCTGAAGGATATAAGACCATATTAATTTTTATAGCTTAATTTGTTTTTGTTAATTTGTATAGCAGGAAAAAAGGATACCTCTATTTTGTGGTCTTTTATTATAAAAATAGTATATCCAAGATACCTTTCTCTGATTCTGTAATATCTAGTATTCTCTTCAAATGATAGGATGCTTGAATTTAAAAATATTTTAATTCTTCTTACATTTTTTTCCTACTGATATTAAAGCAAAATAATTTATTTTTGGAATTTATGTTAATTGTAAGATACCATTCACATTCAAAAGACAGTGTTTACTCAGAACCTAAATTTTCTTTAAAATGAGTAATTTAACATTTTATGTATTTTGGTCATAAAGTTTTTCTTTAGTGAAGAAGTTTGTGAGGTCGTATTCCATATAGTGTGAAATGGAGGCACCAAGCTCATACTGGGTTTCTAAAAATCAACACGGAAAACCAATCACTGTATCTCATCATTTCCTCAGGGTTCTGAATAAACAAACTTACTTCTACTAAGTTAACCTGTTAAAAAATGTTTAACTTAATGAAATAATATAATCAACTTCTAGTTTGAACAGAATGAGTTGTCATTAAATAAACAGCATATATAGATCATTTTTCAGATGCTTAATACACTCATGTGGTCTTAGAACTACAGGCTTATATAAACTGACGTGTGAAAAGATTTCCCTTGTGCTCAGAATACTTCTAACAATATCTCTTAAATTTAAGAAACTCAAAAGTAATGCTTTAAACCACTTAAATGCTGAACAGTCTAACAGTAAAATAAAAAGAGAAAATAAAGTTAATGAAAAATACTTCTTTACTTTCAGGATTTATCATACTAAAGATTATTTGCATTTAACAAATATGATGAAATAGGAAAGCTACAACCATCAATAAAACTAGAAAATCTAACCATTTATTAAGTGGTACTCAAAATGTGCTTTACAGATCACTGCTAGTCCACAAACTGTTACAAGAATGCAGCAAGATTTTACTCCACTATGTAGACCAATATACTGATTCATCAAGAGATTATTATGAAAAGCATGTTTGCTGAATTAGGCAGCATGCAGTGATATAATTGAATTTTCAAAGTAACCAGAAGTACTGAATAAGAGAGTGCAGTGCTATGTTAATTTTTCAAACTTCTTTCTAAAAAAGGTGATAGAATCATGAAATGGAATAAAAAAGGGAAGATGAAAAAGGGATTCAGTAGACACACTTTTTAGAAATGTATTAGTCATTGATATATGCAGGTAATTAATACAAATGTTCAGAGCCCACATCTATGTGTTCCTGGATAAAATAAATTTTTTTTGTGTTTTTTAGCCATTTTCATGAATTTGACTCAATGACATCAACATGTATAAGTAAAACTGAAAAACAGTAACCCTCACATTTTTATCATTCAGTTTCACAGATACAGTGAATCAGTTCCAGATACAAAATGATGACTGCATGAAATGATCATGATGCCTGTATTTAAATTTAAATTTAAAGATTCACTGCTTAAAATTTTGAGGTTCACGTAAGTCCACAACTTCATCAAATCACCTGTTGAGAATATAAAGTTATTGTTCCACAATACATTAGGTGATCACATGCTTATAACAAGTTTCAAATGACCCATATGGAATGTAACATGTTGATATATTGCTGAAGGAAGACTTTATCACCTAGGCTAGGGGTCAGCAAATTTTCTCTGTAAAGAGCCAGACAGTAAATATTTTAGGCTTTACAGGCCGTACAATCTGTGTTGCAATTATTTAACACTGTATTAAGCCACCGTAATGAGCAAGCAGCCATACATAGTAAGAAAACAAATAGGCACATCTGTATTTCAATAAAACTTTTTTTATGGACATGGAAATTTGAATAACATAATTTTCATATGTTACAAAATATTCTTCTTTTGATACTTTTTCAACCGTTTAATAGTGTGAAAGTCATTTTTAACTCACAAGCTGTACAAAAACAGATGGCAGGCCAAAATGGCCTGCCAGCAGTAGTTTGTCCTGATCTAGACCAAAGGCATAAAAAGCATTAGTAACCCATTTCATTTAAGAGATGGAATGAAGTGACTGAGTAATACATGGTTTTTAATCAGAATGCAATCAACTATACCAATACAAAATAAATTAATCATATAGAAAACTGTACAGAACAATATCTTTACAACATCCCTTGCCAGAATAATTTGTATTTTTTTCAATATTATGTAGTAACAATGAAAAGAACATAATGATCTCTAAGTTAGCATATATGTTTGACTAAAATGAGAGTTGACTCAGCAATTGTACTTCTAGAGACATGCCAAGAAAATTGAAAACATATATTCACAGAAAAGTTTACACACAAATGTTCAAAACAACTTATTCTTAATGGCCAAGAATTGAAAAGAACCCAAATGTCCATCAACTGATATGTGGATAAACAAATGTGTTAGAGCCACACAGTGAAATATTACTCAGCCACAAAAAGGAATGAAGTACTGATACATGCTACAACATGAATGAACATTGAAAACATTAAGTTAAGTGAAAAGAGTCAGTCACAAAAGGCCACATATTGTATAACGCTATTGCATAATGTGTGAAATGTCCAAAACAGGCAAGTTCACAGGAATACAAAGTAAGTTAGTGATGCCAGAGGCTCTAGGGAGGGAGGCATGGGAGTGACTGCCCCAAGGGGATTTTCTTTGCTGTGATGAAAATGCAGGGTAATAGGGATATTTGTACAACCTTGAGAATATACTAAAAACCAAAAAATTGTACACTTTAAAAAGGTGAATGTTATGGTATGCTAATTATATCACAATAAAGATTACAGTTAAAAAATAAGGATAAGAGAGTAAACATAAATGGTATTGATATTAAATGTGGAAATACAATAGTGATGCACTAATACAAGTAAAACCACCCATTTGATATGGAGTTTATCTCTCCACATCAGTAGTGATGTGTCTATGAATTCACAAGGATTAGAACAGATCAAGGAGATAAATGCACTTATCATTCAAAATTTATAATAATTTTTTAAGTAAGAACTTTGAGTGCCTCTGTAGATCTGCCATTATTATCTGAGAGATGGTTTAGGTAGTCAGTTCAATGGTTTCCTCAGGGCTTTTTATTTTTAAATTAATAATAATAATGGCATTTTTCTCTGACTATATGTTGTTATTTATTGAAATCACTTGTTACCTCAAATATATTGAAAAGATATATACCATAAGCTTTACCTTTTGACCATCATGCTCAAAAGTAGAAAACCAAGGTTCAGCAGTTTCCATAAGCTGGGAGAACATCGCACTAAAAATCAGAAAAATAATATGAAAACCTTAGTTTAATATGTTTACATATTAAATATTAAATAATATGTAAACCTTAGTTTAACATTAAATAGTTAAACCATTAAAGATGGCATAAAAAATAAAAATAAAAGGAAGTTTTTGTACTTACTAGGCATCATGTTCCAGATATTCAGGGTTCAAAAGAGTTTTCATTTCCTCACTTAAGAAAGAAATACAAGCCATCAAAATGTATAATTTCTTAACTGAAGGAGATATAGTCTGCCTTATTCTCTATTCATTAGTCATCTTTCATATGATGTGCAAGTGAAAAAATATTAGCCTTTTTAAATAAAAAGTGCAACTCTATTAACAAATGAAATCCTTTCTTTCTATGACGATCAAAAACAAGTTAGCTGCCCTGTGTATAGCACAATGAAATAACTAATTATTCCAAATAACAAATACAGAATGTTCCAATATATTCCTTGAATGTGCCTGATGTAAAATAAATTGATTACTCTATAATCTATCTCTTGTTCAAGACAAAACAAAAAATATGCATAGGAACTGGTCAAATATATGAAATAGTCAACACAGTAATTTATTTTCTTTCAATAGCTTCTATTGTTATTATATTTTAACATCAATTAATCAGGGACAGCATCTCTTCCAAATCTATTTTAGTGTTGCTTTTACTTTTTTATGGCCTAAAATAGTTAAAAGAAACACATCCAACTCATTTAAAAGCTATTTTAAATCATCTATACTTTCCTGGGAAGTATATTTGGCATATATTTTGAAAAAGGTAAAACTGGCATGAAAACAGGACCCTGACACTAACTTCATCCTTATCATACTTTAGAATAAATGAAGCAAAGGCAATTAAGATATGGTCACTACCGTAGGATCTAATAAAATTGGTAATGATCAGAAAAACTCAAAAGAACTAGAAAATACTATAATACAGTAAATAAAAGTTAATTTGACATACATAAATAATGTATGTTCAGCAAAATGGATGGCTATATTTGATTAATAAAAATCATGCAAACACATGAAATGCACAGGTTCTTTATTTTCTGCATATAGATGGGATAGACTCGGAATACTCCTGACAAAGTTTTATAATTTCACAGCTCTCCATTCCCAAGATGCTTCCTAACTGCCTCTCTGGGGCATCAATTAAGCTATCTTAAGTTAGCAAATAAATTCTAATAATTAGTCCAAGTTAGATAGAACAACTAAGGTTATTTGTTAGAAATAATCAACTAATGCTTCTCAAAAACATGGGAAGTCATTTTTGTTTATACACTTTGGTTCTCTGTAATTTTACAATGTGAAAGGAATCAAATCTATTAAGAGACCACAGATAAGGTTCTCATGCAGCTTGTTAGAAGGAAGAGGTCATTAGAGGATCATATATATGAATACTGTCAATCATTAACACTTGCTACTGTAATAAAAATTTCCTCTACTTGACCCATTAGTTATATGTCTTCCTGTGGTTCAGCTCTAAGAGTTGCAAAGACCTTTATGATTCTAAATTTGCCCCATAGCTGAAATGGGATTACAATTTTTAAGTGGAATTAACCATCAGCTCCAGCAAACATAACCAAATGTTTACAATTTATAAAAGTACCTTCAATTTAAAAGATTTTGAGGGAAAAAAGATTATAGCAAAGCTGAAAAAACAGATGGACTCTTATAAAAACTTGCCTTGGTTGTGCAGACTCACTGGCATGAAGAAAAGCTTGGTGGTCACAGTGGACGATAAAGACTATAGGTGCTAACAGCTCGTGCATGCCCTGAAATATAAGAGCAAAAGAAATAAAGAATGGATGTTGAGAGACCCATCCATCAGTGGACAGAATAAGCTCAGTTAAAGGCTCCCTCAACAGATCCCTGTCACCAACATCTCCTTAGTATATAGATGAGCATAAAATGAAAAGCTACAAAAGATTTTATTTACTTTTAGAATTTGACTCCAATTCAGTGACAGCACACATTCTTTAAAACATGGAGAGCAGTTCTCTTTTAAATGACACAACGAACAATAAATTGGCATGGTAGACAACCTTGCACCTGTCAGTTGCTTTACGATCTGTACTCATAAATATGAATTTCATTTATGCAAATTATAATCATGAGCTACAGTGTAAAGATCTGCAGTAAGAAGGGCAACTGAGAACTGTAGACCTAAGGAAATTACATCCAATGTTTTCATTATATAATGGCTCAAAATTAGGATGTCGGTACATTTAGGAAGAGCTGAAGTCAGCGAGCTAGAAATGTGGGATAATAAAAGAAACAACCTTTAACAGGTATGCCAGAAAACAAAGTTTTTAAAGTATGACTTTCAACATGTTTAAACAGAAGACCACCATAAATTTTTTTTCCTGTCTACATCATTTATAAGGTTACTTTTCAATTTATTTAGTGATTTCACCAATACAATATTCTTTTTCCTTATATTGGTGCTCAGCTGTGGATTACATGAACAGACATAGAAACAAAAAGGTGCATTAGTTACTAAGTTGTCTTTAAAACAATATCATAAACATACATTATTTAAGCATTATTGTGAGAAATAAGGTATTCCACATTAGTGCCTTGCCTTGTTAATTGAGATTTTTTTTGCTCATTAAATATCAAAGACATATTTTAGGAAGTTAAAAATAGATTACACTCATTTCTGCCTCTTAAAGTGAGTAAATTATCCTCTTCCTTTTGCTTAGTAACTACAGATGATCTTTTATAAAAAAAATAAGAACAGCACGTTCGCAGTAAATAAACTTTTGGGGTCAGAGAGAAGAGAAAGTTTTTGCTGGTGGAACCAGAACAGACTTCCTTGGCAGGGGGACGTCGTACAGCCCTTTGTATAGTTTAGAAGTGCTGCATCGTTCTCAGAAGGCTGGTTGTTACCACAGAATAACATGAAAGTAAGCTCGATCAGAGGTCATTTTTAAATTACCATTAGCCTTGAACTGGAAGAACTTAATGACATTTTTACAAAAAAATTTATGATCCATTGAAAAATCACTTATGATTTAGGACAAATTACTACACATTACTTCAATCTTTACTAAAGAAACCTTGAAAAGACTATGCTTTAGAACATGGTCGAGACCCAGAATGAATGGAATTAAGTGTTGCTAAGTATGCTGTAAAATCATCATTCTCCTGGAATAAAGTCAAGTTATTAAAAAACCCAAGTGTCATAATTTTAATCATCCATGAAACAGCTACTTATTGTAGTAAAATTACAGAAAAGCAAAACAAAAAGGAGGAAGAAGGAAGGACCAAAGGACAAAAGAAAGACATTTAAACCTGTAATAGGTAACTTTGTGGTGACCTTTTTGCCTACTGCTGATGGTTTCCTTAGGATAAAGTCCTTAGAAGTAGAATTTCTGGATAAATGAGTAAGATACTTGTTAAAGTCTCTAACATAAACAATTAAGTGCCCTTCAGGAAGAATTATTTTACTTGAGAGCATAAAAATGCCTTCTCGGACATCCTCACCTATGCTTGTAATGTTTTTTTAAAAAAAAAAACCTGTTAAATTTCATAGTCAAACAGTTGTTTGAACTTATTTAAATGCTACTGAGATTGAATGCAAAAATTTTATTCACTATTTTTATTTAATTAATTGCCCATTTTCTCCCAATAAAGGTTTCCTTTTTTCCTGATAATTGTTAATAGTTCTTCACCAGTTCAGGATATTAACCTTTAGTTCTTTTTGTTACAAATACATTCCCATGTTTATTATTTGTCTTTTTAACTTTACTGATGTCTTATGTCACAGTGAAGCCATATATTTTAAAATAGATCAATAAATCATCCTTCATTGTTTCTTGTTTTGATTTCCTGCCTAAAAAGACCTTCCTCATTTCAAGATTAGGTAAGTATATAGTTTCCTTTTTCACAGTTAATTCTTTACTCATGTGTTAATTTTGCCATATAGAATAAATAATATTTTTTCTATTCAGAAGAATTAAATTATTGAATAATCACAATTTATTGAATATCCTACCTTTTCCCAGGAGATCTGAAATGTCATCTTTACCATAAATAGAGTATTTAGCCTTCATTTTTTTGGGGGGGCTTTTATTGGTATTCCATTCGTTTGTATAATCCTAGTGAGAACTTTACTACAGAAATGACTTGAATTGTAAAATACTCTACTCTTCCATAGTTTGTATTCTTTCTCTCAAAATTATCTTGGCTATTTCAACTTAATCTTTTTTCATCCAGGTTAATTTCAGTATCATTTAGTTACATAAAATGCTAAACAAAGTACTACTATTATTAGTGGCATGGCATTAAAATTAACTTGAAAATAAATATTTTTAATTACACCAGATTCCCTAAAAATTCTTTAAAAAATTTTTACAACTGCATAGTTGTTAGGTTTATTACTAGGTTTTGTTGTTGGTGGTAGCAGTGATCTGAATGGATCTTTATCCCTCAATATATTTTCTAAATAATTATGGCTGGTTTAACAAGAAAGTGTTCTTGCATAAATGTACCTTCCCTACTTATTTAATGATTCTCTTCCCTCTAGTTTGTTTAACTACTTTCCCAGATTCCCCATTTGCTCATGCAACACTCATTTTCATTTACAACAAAAATTATTTATTAACTACTTTTGATATGCTGGAAATACAAAGTGAATGAAGTTGGCAAGTTCCTAAACATTATGGGGCTTGCAGTCTAGAGAGCAAGACACATAATAATGAGACAGAAGTGACTATTTGATTACAAACTGTGATAGGTGATGTGTGTGTATATACACACACACACACACACACACACACACACATACACAAAAATCCAGCTTCTTCTATAGGTTCAGCATACAGAAGGTGCTCACTAACACGGTGACTGAAAGAATAAAATACCTACCACTCAACATAGCAACACATTGGTAAAGGTTGAACTATAATATGAAAAACAGAAAAGAATAACACTAAGTTATATTTTAATACTTAACATCAATAAATAGGGGTACTCTTTGTGTAATGGAAATTAAGAGTCCTGTGAATACCATTCAGACAAACTTTCATAAATTCAGTGTTGACTACCAACTAATCTAGGGATATTTCTCATATAGACTTAGAAGAGATTGTTGGTTTTATTCTCAATCCTAGACTAGTAAAACCTGATTAATAATTACAAGTAGCAAGAGTACAGACATCTTTAAAGGAAAAGAGAACTAATGATCATAAACTCTATATGCTATAGATCTGGCAATGAATAATAATAAATAATGTATTGTTAGTGCACTTTTGGGTTCCCAAAACATGTATTTACTTCCACCAACACTATCAGGATTTCTGCTTACTTCAAGCCTTCATCCCTGCTGACTGTTAGAAGTCACTGCACTACAAACACAGGCCAGTTGAAAATAAAGGTAACAAAGTTTTCTTCATCAACAGCCTGTAGGCTCACAAAATTGAACCTGCTCTTTTATCTGCCTGTGTTCATTTAGCCCACCAAGCAGTCTTTATTAAAGCTGAGGCATCAGGCAGTCAAAGTTCATTAATACCATTTATATAATCTCTGCAGTTTCAATTAACTCAGCAAGACATTCTACTACATGATAACAGTCTCATTAATTCAATAAAATCCCATAACTATTAACAATATGGTCGATGTTAAACGGGGTGTCACCTAGTACAAAATAATAGCTTTAACAGCTTGTGATGAAACTCAAGGCTTTTTCTTAAATTTGATCTGGCTAAATATTCAGTCCTTCTACAGCAAGGTGTTATTTCTATATAAAGAATCTACAGGATTTCAAACATGTACAGGGAGTACTTAAGTCTTATTAAGTGATACCTAGAAGTAAGTTAGTAATACTTCCTTATTCAGTAATTAATAGACTGTTTAAATTATCAAGAATCTGATATTCCATATTCCTTTTTAGTCTTCCGTACAAATGCAGTGGGCCTCATATATCACAAATGATGGCATGTACACCTAGCACATTTTTGTTCCTTGTCTGTGGAACTTGTTTCCATTATTATAAGACTTCCTTAAGCTGGTTTTTTGAAGCAAATGTATAAACTGGAATAATTTTACTCTCACATGATTTTCTATCATCAAATCTTTTACTGTGAGGTATTTTCAAGTAGTTGAAAGAGGGGAGGGGACAATGAAGAGACAGGCTCACTGACAGAAGCCAAGACAAGAAGAGGAGAGCACAAGAACAGAAAGACACCTGGGGCACTGAGGAATCTCAGCTACTGGACTGGGAAATGCTGCAAAACCCTCTTGCCCCCAGGCATCTAGCAAAGTATGCTGATGACATCCTTAGAGTTCAAATCATTTTGAGTGGAATTTTCTGTTATTTGCCTCTAAAAAAATCCTACAGTGATAGAGATTTTTTTGTTTTGTTTTGTTTTGGTCTTTGGAATTTGTATCTCATTTCTGGATAGCCTACCTTGCTTGAGAAGGCATTTCCAACACAGAGATTATAGAAAATTTTCCTAATTTTTTCTCCAGCATTTTTATACAATCTTAGTTTTTATATTTATATCTTCATTCCTAGAATTTATTTCCAATGAAAGTATAATTTAATCTCTTTTGATGGGAAACCAAACATGGCAAATTAATATCCTTTTTCCATTGAATGAAATATCTTATTGTATAAGATCTCATATACAAATTGGACCTGTTCCATTGATCAATTTGTAGATTCCCATACTACTATTACATTGATTGGATCAAAGAACATTTATAGGGGTTTCCATATCTCCCTGTGCCATTCTCCTCTTTCTTTAAATTATATGACAACTCCAACATA